TAAACGGGTGTCCAGAGAGATTCTTTCTAGGTGGATTCGCACTGTCATGACCTCTGCAGGGGTAGACACAACAATATTTAAGCCACACAGTACACGAGCAGCAGCTACTTCAAAGGCTAAAACAGCCTCTGTTCCAATTCAAAAAATCCTGAAAACTGCTGGGTGGTCATCATTGAGATGTTTTGATAAGTTTTATGACAAACCTGTGGAATCCTCCACATTTGCGTCCGCTATTCTCAAGACTGTTTAGTCCTGAAATTGGACTTGTTGGCAAATGGTTTTTTGTACTACTAGCCTTAACGAAACATCTTGTAGACAGAAACTTTATTTAACATTTATTTTTCTTAACATTACTTTAATGTTACATACACCTGCATATGGTGTTTTAGGTTCCAATTGATACTTAGATTGTAATACCTACATCACTCATTGCTCCGTTCCTCATGCCTTTTATTGTGGGGAAGATACGTATAGCCTCAGTTGATATTTGTCATGTAAATCTGTTTGACTTACTACGTTTCAGTTAATAAACTGATTAAAGTGATTCATCATTCAGTGTTTGTTCCTCGTGTGACTGTCTTGGCTTTGAAATCTCATGGGATCCCTGGGGCAGTGATGACGAGATAGAATTGAAAAATTAAACGAGACTTACCTGTAAGTTGAAGTTTGATTGGAATTTTATCGAGTCATCAAACTACACCAAGGGATCACATGCCCTTCCTTGGGCAACAAATCATACTTAAATTTGATTTTACCCACCCATTTATTTGTAGTGCTATTGACATTACAGTTCTTATACAATCTACTTCATGGTGATCAGACTGTCACATTCGGCTGTAAATACTGGTTATGCGCATGCGTCTAGCTATCTCATGTGATCCCTTGGTGCAGTTTGATGACTCGATAGAATTCCAATCAAACTTCAACTTACAGGTAAGTCTCGTTTAATTTTCAATTAAACTCGACGAAGTCGCAAAGGCCGGCCGTCATCAGAATCTTAACAACTTAAATTAGAGCAGCAACCTCTGGCCCAGTCTATCTGGGTTGTCACGTCGCCGTCGCCCCGAAAACGTCTGTATCTTAAGCTACCTAATATGCTATTGGAGAAGGTTACATCATTTTCTGAAAGGAATCTGCTGAGCCAGCACTTTCAGTTTTGAACGGAAATGTCCCTTGATGTAAAGATGAACAACTTATAAGGTATATTTCCCTCATTGCAATCAGTCAAAATTAGGACATCGTCGTGTGGTATATGTATTTGGGGCTTCGGCGCGAAGATTCAAATCAGCGAAGAAGCAAACAGTGCAGAATTACTTGAGTTTGAGGTGAGATATCTCCGTTTGATTTCATTTACACTCTACAA